TGAAGAAGTATCTAGGGATTGGTTTGCTATTCAGTAAACACAACCATATGAAAGTGGAAGTTTAAACAAATGCATATTAGGCAGGTGTTGTAGATGATAGAAAATCCATCACTAGGTATTATACCTTTGTGGGTGGAAACCTAATGACTTGGAGAATTAAAAAATTAAGTATGGTTGCAAGGTCGAATGATGAAGTTGAGTATAGGGCTATGGCACATAGGATAGCGGAAGCACTTTGGTTAAAGAATTTATTAGGGGAACTTGGGTTCAATGTTGAAAACCCTATGTCCCTCTATGTTGATAATAATGTAGCCATAAGTATTGCAACTAATCTTGTACTTCATGATAGAACAAAGCACGTTAAGATGGATAATCATTTCATAAGAGAGAAACTTGAAAAGGGTGAAATCGACACTCCTTATATTAACTCTAAGAAGCAATTTGCTAATGTTCTCATAAAGGACTTCCATGTTTGCGACAAAACGAACTATGTGACAAGTTGGAATGGTTGACATATACAACACGACTTGGGGGGAGTGTTGTTAGTTTATTATTACTACCTTTATGATGTTTGCATACTTATTTGTTTTTTATTTTTCTTTTGTTAAAGTGTGCCATTATGGGAAATGTTGTGATTTTCTCTTATCTTTTACCAACTCAATATAAATAGAAGAAGAGGCATCATGATGAGTACGCAATTTACATATAATTTATGAGGTTTTATGCATGGTTTTTATGTCAGTTTGTTTGAGTTTCACCCATTTCAGCTTAATTTTAGGAATTATTTCAGAAGAAACCAACTCAGGAGAAAGAAGGCATACAACAAAAAGAAAAGAGTCAAATTTGAGGTAATTTAGCCCAGTTAGAACCATGGCCTAGCCGAGAGAACAAGAGAGGTTCACTCGACCCATGCAGCCCATGCTACACTCTTTGGGAGAACCCAAAGAAAGAGCCTAGCAAGAAAGCCAATTTGTCCCAACAAAGAAGAGGCCCATTTTAGCTCAAGAGCAGCATAAATTGCAGCCAAAAAACAGCCCAAATTTCAGCCAAGGTGCAGCCCAAGAAGAGCTAGGGGCGGCAACTTCTAGAGAGTTCAAGAGAAAAAGGCAACAAATTCTAGAACTTTCAAGAGAGGCTAGAGGTGGTAGCTTCTAGACTCCTTGAAAGCCTATTTAAGGAGGTCTCTTGGAGGGGAATGGTGTTCAATTGCCTAAGTTCAAGTCTCCTTGGTCCCTTGGGTTCAAAATTCAAGGAGAGGAGAAGAGAGATAGCTAGGCGCAAGAGAGAAGGAGCGGAGGAGATCCAAGCAATCCAAGAAGAGAAGAAGGTGAATTTGAAGGAGGAGAAGCTTGAGATCTAGGTCATACTCTTCCTTGATTTCTGCATACTTTGTGTTCAAATTCAGCTAGAGATTATGTAATTTCCCCATCCATCTTTCTTTCTTGCTGTAATGGAAGTTTGATTGTTGTAAATTCAATTCTGTAATTAGTTTTCTTGAATCATTCGACTAGATCAGATCCAACTTTGAGTTTCTTGATTATAATATTAATTGTAGAACTGATAAGCCGAACTGCTATCTTACAAATTCAGATCTGTAATTTGTAATGTCTGAATTGCTTGAGAGAGAATTCAGACATTCATCATCCAGTATTGACCGATCTGTTATAAACTCTTGGAAATTCTAGAGTGCTTGAGAAAGACTCTAAAATTTCAGATATGCTACTCAAGAACTGAATTGAATGCAAGATTAGAGATAACTTGCACAATTCAGTTGGTGATCATTCAATCTGAATTGATGCCCTTTAAATGTTTGATCTAATGCATGCATGAATCATTAGATTCTTGATAGAGATATAAGAATTATCATTCATGCATATGATGGACATGTGCTTGAAAGAGGTTGTTCATTGCCTTGGGGTTTCACCAAACCAAGGCTGAATCAAATTCTATTCGAATGATCTAGAGAGCTAATTGCTGAATCATTTATGGGTATTTCTAGCTTATCCTTTCAACTTGAATACAAGGTGTTTGAGCCAACTCCTAGTAGATAGTTTGTTAGCTAGATTTTCAGATTTGAATTAGATTTAGAATTTGACTAATCAGATAAGAGCAGGCTAATATAATACTAGTAGTTGCTACATAAGTCATTGTGGGAATGATACTCTATTCATCACTCTATTACTTGAGTGGCTAGTGCACTTGCTAGTGTCACCAAGACGCACCACACCACTAGCTTGACTTTTTTGCCCCCAAACCTTACTATCTTTTACTATTCTCCTTGTCCTCTTATTTCCCTTGCTTTTATATTATTCATTGGATGAAAACACTCTCAATAAGTTGGTTATCATCAAAACAAATAGGGCCAACATGAACTCTCTCTCTCTCTCTCTCTCTCTCTACTAGCAACATCTCTATCCTTAAGGATGCATTTGGAAATGATGCAAATAAGTGTGAATGCAAATATGTAGAGTGTAAAACGGTTCATATAAATTGCAAAGTTGGGTTAATTTTTCTCTGACAAATTTACCTTCTTACCAAACAGACTTGAATGCAAACATGAATTTCAATAAAGCATATGCTTTTTTTATTAAAAGCCCACTTAAATGCAAATTTACTTCTTTTTTATTGATGTATTTTTACATCTTATTATCAATGTAAATATGCATTGGTTTGTCATTTGTCAATGCATAAACATATGTTGCCAAACACAGGCAAAAGTGAACCAGAGTGCAAATTTACCCTAAACTGAGATTTACACTCCATTTGCATCGTTTCCAAACGCAGCCTAAGAGTTAGAGTACTGGCCTCATCCCTCTTGGCCTGGGCCAACCCAGACCTACATTCAAGGACCTATACCTTGGAGGGCCGACCTGAAGGTAAAGTCTTTGACCCTGACACATGGTAGGAAGATTGCAAGCTACTAGGAGAATCCTAGTCTAGCAGCTCATACACCTCATGCTTTGCATCCAAAGACATGATTAAAAGAAAGGAGATTTATCAAATACTCAAGGGGATGAAGTAGGAAGACTAAAATAATATGAGACGAGTTGGAGGGAGTTGGGCGACCTACCAAAGCGTTAGGAACAGAACAACAAATGGCCAATAATTCAGTTGCTTGATCTCCTCTTTTATGAGCAATTTAATGGTTGAGATCAATCTAGTATGGACAATGAGGATTGCATCACTTCATCTCATGGCATTGATGGAAGCCATGTAGAGAGCCTTAGAAATCAAAACGAGACATCGCCATACATGCTGATTTCTTGAGCTAGTGCTTTGTATCTACAAGCTCGAGGATTCAATGGTTTGGCGAGTTGGGATCGTCTCATCCCATTGATCTCCATACTGTTAAGAACTTTGCATTGGAGTGATGGACTTTCACTCAATCTAATCACCACATTACTTTCTTCACCTCGAAGGTGACCTCGAACTCGGTATTTTGTGTTCACACAACCTCAACTTCAAATGTGGGGGACATGTGATACAACCGAATTGTTTATCCCAATTAACACATGATGCATGGCGATCTAGAAGGGTAACCTCATCCTTGCATAGGCCTTGGAGGGACATTGTAGGATTTTACCCTCCAAGTGTAATGACAACCTCTCTCTAAGGGGGCATTCATTTTTTAGATTTTGAGAGGGGGGAAGTTGGTCAATGGGATTGACCAAGAAACCCATGTTCTTTTTTTCTTTCTTTATTTATTTTTTTTTAATTTATGAGGACCAGGTAAAGTTTATTTTCATGGTGGCAAGTGATACCAATCTCCTAGGTGGGTATATTATCTTTCCCATATTGGAAAAATTGCCCACACTTAGATGGGACAAAAATGCCCCTTTTGATAATGAATTTTTTATGGTTAAAATTGTTATTATTTTATTTACCTAAAAAATAAAAGAACATAGGTAAATAACTCACCAAAAAGCGAACTGGTCTAAGTGTTACAACCTTGGGTTAGTGCTTGGGCTCATTAAATGTCAGAGTAATGCTCAACCATGTGATCCCTGTTCTTAATGGAGTTGGCAATCATTGTGAGCCGTCAAAGTTTCTTTAACACCACATTCAATGGGGGTCTTACCTATATATAGGACGAGAGACAACACATATCTCTTTTATGCACTATTACTCTTGCTCTTGCTCCTACTTTGGCACCTTGATACCTTGGCTATTAGAGTCTCCACCCTTGGCACTACACCCCAAGGCTTTTAATGTCTGTTGTGCTTGTAGGTGGGATCCTTGGCCAAATTTACGTTGAAAATTCCTAGTTTACCTTTGTTGCCAAATCCGATAGCATCATAAACACTACCAAACAAACATCATTATTGCTTTTTTTTTTTGAAAAACGAGTTAGGTGGTAACAATGGAACAATGGAACTAAACAATTAATTTTGTTATTTTTTGACAAAAAAACACTATGGCACCAAACACCACCTAGGTTGTAGAAAGCATGGTTTGGGAATAATGGAGCCCCATAGAGTAGCTAGCCATTTACATGGTGCTTGGTTATAGGACCGTCTATTTGAAAAGTTGTGCCAATTCATCACCACATAGTCGTTTATTCAAAAATGTTATTTGGTAAGACTATGTATTACATAAATATTTTTCTCGATTTGTGTGAAAACACACTGTTAGAAAAAACATCATCTTTTATATTTCCTCAAACACCCAACTATTTATTTATTGTTGAACTTATCTAGCGCCTAATAGTGTTTAATGACATATAATAATGCCTAAATGTCAAATAACATCAAATAAACATTTATCAACCATTTTTCCGTTTTTCAAGAACAATCCAATACAAAGTTTATTAAATAAACGGCCACACTCCCATTCTAAGCCATTTAGCATCGCTAGATTGGCTGGAGCCCCAGGATAAAAGCTAGTCACGTGGCTGGTCGATTATTTCCCCATTCTGTATGTTTCTTTTTCACGTGCGTCAGAACACCACACGTGCCGGCGTAAAGGGTCTCTTCCCGACATATAACCACTGCGACTCCCTATTCTCAGAGCAGCGAAGCTCTTCCCTCTCTCTTTCTTGGTTTGTTTCTCTCATATGCATTTATTCTTCCTTTGCTTGGACTCTTTCTTTCTGTTTCTCTTGCAATCTTTGGTTCTCTACAGATTTCTCCATCGAAGCTTACGCTTGATCGATCATCGAAGGATAGTCTTCAGTTTCTCAAGGCAGTTCAAGGTAAGTTATCTTATTTCCTTCAAATTTCTTCCCACTTTCATTGAAATACGAATAACCACCCGAAATAAACTACTTTTTTCAAGTCTTAGGTCATTAGAATATGCGTTTCTTTTTATCTTGCTCGGTTCAAAATGGAAGAGGTCAGGTCCTTTTAATGTTTTGGGCACAGACTTCATAGACTGTTATACCTGTGGACATTTCTTTTGCTTTGGTTTAAAATTTGAAGCTTGGTTCTCTTTATTCCGCATAAATTTGCATAGATAATGCTCATTGCTTAGATTAGGGTTCGCATTTTTACTAGTTTGGATGCATTATGTTGTTTACGATTGTTGACTGTGGGCTGAAGTCTACTTTTGGTGACTCCTTGTATTATTTTGAAGGGGAGGAGTTGTTGAATTTGTAATGGGAAGCCATACTCGAAAAATTTAACAGCTTTACATGGATCCCAAAAGTTCTAGCAAAGGAGATGAACCTGTGGACAGGCCTGTTCGCACGAGTGACAGGCTCCGTCGACGGCCAAGTATGTATGGCCGTACGTATATGTTTTATGGTCCAACCATTATTCGCAAAAAAAGCAAGACCAGGAAGCGGACAGCAGCTTCTCAGATTGCCAAGATGCTGCGTCCTGGAAATCGGCCAGTACGGACAGCCAAAACCAACGTATGAGCCTCTTCTTTAAATTTATTTCACATGTCATTTTTTTTCTAGCAATTGTGCTTGATCAGTCTTAGAAGTAAATTTATAGTTATTGCATTTGTATTTCTGTCCTTTATTTGATTCCTAAATTTAGTTTGGTGTTTGGTGGTAAGAGTGATTTTTGTTTCTCCAAGGTATCACATGCACTTTTTGATGTAATACTTCAAATGAAAAAAAAGCTAATGAATAGGAAATAAAACTATAATAAATAAAACAAGATATACTAGTCTTCCTTTATTTGATTCCTAATTTTAGTTTGCTGTTTTGTGCTAAGAATGATTTTTTTGTTTAACCAAGGTGTCACATGCACCTGGTGTAATACTTAAACATAAAACAAAAAGCAAATGAATATGAAACAAAACTATAACAAATAAAGGAAAATATACTAGTTTTTGCACGAGTGATTTTGGTAATGATACATCCTTTTTCATAGAAGAGGCACACCCCTAATTATTAGTAAAAATGCACAAGTACCACTGCGATTTTTTTGTTACCAAGTATCACTACGATCATTTTAAGGAGTTTTAATTTTGTCTTTTCATGGGATTGATTCATCAAAAGTTGGATGTGCCCAAATTAGTTCTACTTTTATTTTAATGTAAAAGGACTGAAATTATTTGTGTGGGGGAAGAGTGTAACTGTACATAAAATTATCTTATTGCTAGTTAAATTAGAATGGAACATTTTCTTGCTTAGGAAGTGGCTTAGTAGATTCCCAAGAGAAGTAATGTGATTTGTGGAATTTGGTGATCAAGAAAGATGGCTTGTATACAGATGAATGAGATGCTGTTCTTGCCATTATAGTCACATTGCTTAGTCCTTGGAAATTGATAGAAGCCCTTCATGTATCTTTCGATAGATTGCCACATTTCAAGCTTTGCAATTAAATTTTGGGAGGATTTTTGGTGGGGGAGAGGCCTTTTTGTTTTAGATTCCCATCTGTTTTCTCCATAACCTTTTACAAGTCCTATCTGGTTGTTTCCTTTGTTTTCCATTCTCCTTTTAGATGTCCTTGGGACTTTGGTTTCATAAGGAGCCTTAGAGATCATGAGAATGAGGGTGTAGTAGTTAGTTCTAGCCTCTAGGTAGGTCCTTCACATACTCATCTTTCTTTAAGATGCTAGATGGCAATAAGGCTGTAACTAGGGGTGCAATCGAGCCAAGCTGAGTTGAACTTTGATATGTCTTGGCTCGGCTCGATTAAAATACTACTAAGTTCGAGCTCGAGCTTGAGTTCAACTCGAACTATATTTTTCAGCTTGAGCTTGATTTGATTAAATATTCAATGAGCTCGAGTTTGGCTCGAAAGCTCGGAAATAAATATATTTGTATACTTTATATATATGATTTTTTATAATATATAGTATATCCTTTTTATGTATGTATGTGTTAATCTAGTCAAGCTTGCAAGCTTTTGAGCCAAACTTTTTATTGGTCAAGCTCAAGATGGCAGGATTTTTATCTTTCTCTACATCTGTGTGCCCTTTGTAAGAAAAGTTTCGAATTGGTCAATCACATTTTTATTTCTTTCTCTCATTGTTACTGATGTAAGGAAGAAGTTTGTTTGCCTTTGTTTGGTTCATAGTTTTCAATGTGTCAAGGTAAGGCTAGGTGGCAAGGGGGGACATAGTTTTTGCTCGCCTATGCGATGGATTTTCTTTTTTTTTTTTGGAAATAGAACCTGAATTCTAGGGTAATTCCCTAGGTTCCATATCAATCAACAACCAACTTTCACTAGTAATTATCTATAACAGTGTTTTAAAAGGTGTGAGAGGCATATCCTTGGAGGTGCACCTCTAGGTGAGGCACCCCCAAAATGCCCTGAGGTGTATGCCAGAGGCATTGATACCTCTAAGCATACACCTCATATGCCTTTTGCATGAGGTGTGCTAGAGGCGTATGCCTCATGTGCAGGATTTTTATCTTTCTCTACATCTGTGTGCCCTTTGTAAGAAAAGTTTTGAATTGGTCAATCACATTTTTATTTCTCTCTCATTGTTACTGATGTAAGGAAGAAGTTTGTTTGCCTTTGTTTGGTTCATGGTTTTCAATGTGTCAAGGTAAGGCTAGGTGGCAAGGGGGGACATAGTTTTTGCCCGCCTATGTGATGGATTTTCTTTTTTTTTTGGAAATAGAACCATGAATTCTAGGGTAATTCCCTAGGTTCCATATCAATCAACAACCAACTTTCACTAGTAATTATCTATAACAGTGTTTTAAAAGGTGTGAGAGGCATATCCTTGGAGGTGCACATCTAGGTGAGGCGCCCCCAAAATGCCCTGAGGTGTATGCCAGAGGCATTGATACCTCTAAGCATACACCTCATATGCCTTTTGCATGAGGTGTGCTAGAGGCGTATGCCTCATGTGCCTCACACACACCTCATATAAGAAGACAGAAAAAAGAAAAAAATAAAGGAAAAAGAATGGAAAGGAAAGGAAAAGAAAGGGAAGGTAAATAAAAACAAAGAAAGAAAGAGAAGGAAAAAGAGACGAAAGAAAAGGGATGGGAAGGGAAGGAAAGAGAAGGGGAAAGAAAGTTTCAGGCTTTCAGCTAGTGTTATGCATCTTCATTCTTCTTAATATATTTTTTTTTTATTAAAAATAGAGAAAAATGAGATCCTCCTCCTCCTTCTTCCTCTCTCAGCCCCCTCCTCTTAAGGGGCTTACACCTCTTATGTTCTGAACTATGCCTCACACCTCCAGGTAGTGGAACGCCTCGCGTCACACCTCCACGTTTTAAAACACTGATCTATTAGAACAGAAAAGAGTATAAAATTCATATTAGAACATAATGTAAGAACATGGACAAGCCTAACATTATAGATTATTGCAATACAAATGTGAAGCAACCAATATAGATGCTGAAGTAGCCACTGTTGTAAGAATAAAGACATGCATAACATTAGCATCAGGCATCAGTAGATATGTGAAACAGGCATTCTAGTCATTGCAATAATGTGAAATGACGGTTTTAGTATTTTCAGTTCATAGTTTAAGTGTGAAACAAAGTTGAGAATGATGGTAGGTGACCAAGTGCATTTGGGAAACGTGTGCAGAGCTGGGAATAGTGTGTGACCTAGTACTATGCTCCCGCGTGATCTCTCTTGTAACTAATAATGCTGATGTGGCATAACTAACAAGCATTCTGTGTTCTGACAGAAAGATATTCTCATTACTACACTTTTGTTGTGACATTCAAAAAGTGTTCAGATAAAGACAAAGTAGTACAATATATGTGACTTTTTGGGGGCTTGGTGTCTCCCAAGTGGCGGGTGGATGAAGCTGAACTTTGATGGAGGTAGCTTTGGCTTTTCAGGGCCTTCCGGAATTGGAGTATTTAAAGATGGGAGTGGGAATATATGTGGTTTGTATTCAGGTCCTATTGATCAAGGTGACTCAGTGAGAGCTGAATTCATGGTTTCTATTGTTGGGGTGCAAAAAGCTAAGGATATGGGAATTACAAGGCTGATTGTTGAAGGGGACTCAAAAATAGTTGTTGGCTGGTTGAAAAAAGGAGAAGGGGTTCTATGGAAATTCAGAAATGATTTGAGAAGATTTAAGTTGATATCAAGAAATATGCAAATACATGTAAGATGGGTTAGGAGGTCTGCTAATGGTTTGGCGGATGGATTAGCTAAGCAAGGAATTCATAGACATCCTTTGTTCTGGGCTCGATGTTAATTGTGTAGGGGGATATTTGATGTAAAGGGTCTTTACCCTAACTTCTTGTTGTATTCTTTTCTTCTTTAATCTTAATAAAATTTCTTGAGTTGCTAATAAAAAAATCTAGAAGCTTCCAAAGATAGCATGACCACTAATCCAGAATATTCTCCACTTGACCACTTTTGGGAGTGTGACAACACACCACCATTTCAGAAGGAGGTTCAGCTTTCCTTGCTCAGTCCGTAGCTAGTCACCTTTCAAACATCTCAGATCATTATATTTGGGGATTTTGGCCCATTTCCCATTACTACCTCCAACATTCAGAGTCTTAGATCACTTCGATCACCACCACCACCTTATAACTGTAAGCTGCAAGAGTTTGCAAAGTGGTACGTCCTTGGGCACATGGTAACCCTTGTGCCAAGCAGTCTCTAATTAACCACGTTTGTGAACTGGTTAGGTAGCATGAAACGGTGACAACATGTGTGCATGTGGTTGAGAAACATGCTAAGTGTGGTGCTAAATCCCATGTGCGTCACCCATAGTGCTGATCTGGCATAACCAAATAACTGATGAACGATCTTCCATATCAATCTTTTCCTCCATGATAGGACAAAACATATTGAACTTGACAAGCACTTTATAAGGGAGAAACTTGAGGGTAAAGTTTGTGCTCCTTATGTCAGTTCGAAGCAACAACTTGCTGGTGTTCTTACAAAGGGACTTCCCTACTTGTGGCACAATGAACTTTGTGACAAGTTGGCATGATTGATATATATATATATATATATATATATATATAGTCCAACTTGAGGGGAGTGTTGAGTTATGTTTTTTTATTGTATTATGTGTGCTGCAAGGGCACTTTTATAATTTCATTTTTTGTTATGAGACTTAAGTATAAATAATGCAAGGGGCATTGCGAGCCTAAGTTTTTGGCTCTCAAACTATTTTTCTCTCTTTGGTTCTCTCTTCTTTTCTTCCTCTTCTCCTCTCTTCTCCTATCGACCTTTGGTGCAGAACAAGTAGGAACCCTACCCTGTCATACATCACCATATTTTTCCCTTCTTGCTCTAATTCTATGCACAATGTCCTCCTCAATCTCTACCTTGTTATGAATTATTGAACCAAGGTACGAGCAAAGGTCACATTGAGTTATTTCTTGGTCTTCAACTCTAAGTGTACTCTGATTTGCAATCCTATTTTATTAAATCTACATTGCATATATTCTTTTTTTTTTTATCAATAACAGAATTTCATTGAGAATAATTAGGAAGTATTGCAATAAGACAGAGGGAGGTAAAACTTTCTTAACTCCCCCACAAGCAAAAAAGAACAGAATTAGAAAGAAGCCCAAAACAATGAAGCCCTATACACCACTTGCTTAGCTAGCCCGTCAGCAAAGGAATTAACAGTTCTTTTAACCCAGCTGTACTTAACTTCAATGTCCTTTGCCAGCCATTTAAATTTTTTCCTCTCATATATTTGTTTTATCCCCTTTTGTCCTTCATTAGTTTTGTTGATTAAAATAATGTCATCAACAAGCAACAAGCACCATGCAACCTCCTCTTGAATATGTATTTGTTTAGTCAATTCATCTATGATTAGTGCAAAATGCAAATAAATAAGGGCTAAGTGTTTAACCTTGGGTGAAGACCCATTGTAACTGTAAAATTTGATGCCTCTCCTATAGGTGATATAACATTGGTTGTTGCACTCTCATACATATTTTTAATTAGGTCCACATACCTATTTGGCACTCCTTTCTTTTCCAAGACCCACCATATTATCTCTCTAGGGACTATCATATGCTTTCTCTAAATTAACGAAATATCATATGAAGATCTCTTTTTCTGCTCTGTAAACTTTTCTGCTCTTTAGGGACTATCCTAGCTTCCATGGTTGATCTCCCTGGCACAAACCCAAATTGGTTCTTTGATATACTTGTTTTATGTTGTAAATTTTGCTCAATTTTTCTCTCCGTAAGTTTCATAGTGTGGATCATGAGTCTACTTTTGCGACAGTTCATACAACTTTGTACATTGCCTTTGTCCTTAAATATATAGGCACCTTTTCTTTTTTCATCTTATTTAGTGCTTCTTTCACCTCTGTAATTCTTCTTTATACATTTATAAACTTTATACTAATTTTTTTGACAAGTTTAAACTTTATACTATTAAAGAAATATACCCTTCCCCAGTAAGGTTGCTCAATTTATATGGTCATTTTCTTTTTCTTTTTTTTATATGCTATTGTTTTGATTCATCTCAGCCTCAAGAAGTTTTCTCTGCATGGCCTAATATTTCTGCAAGGATGAAAGCAAAAATTATGTGGAGTATGGTTCCTTTTGCAATGTTTTGTAGCATTAGAAGAGAGGGAGAGAAACAAAAGAATATTTGCAGGGAAGGAACAAAATTATAGAAGAAATTTTGCTTATATCTGCTTGTTGATGTTGGATTGGTTGGTTGTGCATCCAGAATTTGAAGATATAGATAATCTATCCTTCAGTACTGATTTTTGGTTAATTACGGATGTTGTATCAAAACCAGTAGTGGTTACCCAGATTCATGTATTTTCTTTCTTTTTGGTGAAAATCTTCACGTTCTTTTTATCTTTCATTTCTTTTAATAAAACCCTTCTTTATTTAAAACAAAGTAAAAAAGGTGATTACCAAATGTTGATCATGGGTATCCGGGATCTTGGGAGGGGTGGACTGGATATGGACCTAACCTTTGGCATTTTTATCATGGCTGTTCCCAGACTTGAATGTCCATTCTCACGCTTGTTAGTCTGTGGAAGCTAATAAATTATGAAAATAACAAGAGCAAATTTTGGTAAGCAGCTCCCAGACTACATATGCTGTAGGAATGACCTCAATTTGCCACTAATTTGGTATTTGGTTTACTTTATGGTTTTGCATTGTCTTATTGTTTCTGTATTGCAGTTTAATGTGTTCTATCCTTATCCACTGAAGTAAGAAATTTGTGCACATGGTACTTAAAACTTCTATTCTTGTTCTTATGTTTGGATATGTTATTTGATACATTACAGTAATATGATTGCATTTATTTGAGCTGTCATGTTATTTTTGGTGTTCAATTTTGTGGTTTCACTTAACTTTTTTTTTTCCTAAGCTGGTTGGATATAAATATACTACTAGTTACTTGTCAAAAAGATAGAAAAATTGCAATTGTTTTGTCCTCTGTGGATACATGTTTCTTGAAAGTTGGTTATTCAAATTTCTGAATTACCAATCCTCCCTGCTTGCAGTCCGTGACAAACCTTCGCCGTTCTACAAGAAAGAGGAAGATTTCTGTAAATCTAGAAGGATTCAACACAGACAGTTCTGATACAGAGGATGATGATGACCTAATGGTGAGGTTTAAGCTTTCTCAACCATGGCTTATATAATGTAGGTTATTTATTAACTTGTTTGTAAGGAGTTCAAGGAAAGAAACTTGTCAGAATGCCCTAGAAAGCAATTAATTCTGTTAGGACTATGGTTGTTGAATTGTGCAGAGGCCCAATTATCGTTCTTCTAGAAACAAGACTGAAAACAGTGCTAGTCAAGACGACTTGTCAATCTCTCCAAGGCGTAAAAGGATTGCCAAGAGTAAATCTTTTCCTCGCCGTGAAGGATTACGCCCTCGTCGCTCAAAAATGGTTGAAAGAGATCAATCTGATCAAGATTTTGATGATGACCGGGGTACTTCTGAAGATCAGGTTGGCCAAGATGAAACAGAAAATGGGAATGATGTTGAAGGGGATGGTGGTGATGATGGTGATGGTGAAGATGAGGGTGAGGGTGAGGGTGGGGATGAAGGAGAAGAAGATGGTGATGATGAAGATGCTGAAGAAGGGCAAGGTGGAAGGAGAAGGTATGATCTTCGAAATCGAGCAGAAGTTCGGAGGTCATCTCCTGAGAAGGAGGGAAAACAGAGGCCACGGTCACCTCGGAGAGTATTGCATCAAGGAGTAGGAACCAAAGGTAATAGAGATGTAAGAAAGGGTGGCTCACGAGTTCATAAACGGCATCGCATAACAAGAGCTGAAGACTCTGATGACTCGCTTCTTGTGGACGAGCTCGACCAAGGTCCTGCTATACCATGGGCACGAGGTGGAAGTAGAAGTGGGCCACCTTGGCTCTTTGGTGGATTAGATATGCATGGGACAACGACATGGGGGTTGAATGTTGCTGCTTCAGGTTGGGGTCACCAAGGTGATAGTTTTGCTACTCTAACTTCTGGAGTTCAAACTGCTGGACCAAGTTCAAAAGGAGGAGCAGATATTCAGCCTCTACAAGTTGATGAAAGTGTTAGTTTTGAGGATATAGGTGGGCTTTCAGAATACATTAATGCTTTGAAGGAAATGGTATTCTTTCCCTTACTGTATCCAGATTTCTTTGCAAGTTACCACATAACTCCCCCCAGGGGTGTTTTGCTATGTGGTCCCCCTGGTACAGGAAAAACACTTATTGCAAGAGCATTGGCCTGTGCTGCATCAAAAGCTGGTCAGAAGGTAAGCTTTTACATGCGTAAAGGTGCAGATGTGCTTAGCAAATGGGTTGGTGAGGCTGAAAGGCAACTGAAATTACTCTTTGAAGAAGCTCAGAGAAATCAGCCATCCATTATCTTCTTTGATGAAATAGATGGTCTTGCTCCCGTTAGGTCTAGCAAACAAGAGCAGATTCATAACTCTATTGTGTCAACTTTGCTTGCTTTAATGGATGGTCTTGATTCTCGTGGACAAGTTGTTTTAATTGGAGCTACCAATAGGATTGATGCCATAGATGGAGCCTTGCGACGCCCTGGCCGGTTTGACCGTGAATTCAACTTTCCGTTACCTGGTTGTGAGGCACGTGCAGAAATCTTAGATATTCACACACGGAAATGGAAGCAACCTCCTTCAAAAGAGCTAAAAATGGAGCTTGCTGCTAGTTGTGTGGGATACTGTGGAGCTGATTTAAAGGCCCTGTGTACAGAAGCTGCCATTCGTGCTTTCCGTGAAAAATATCCTCAAGTTTACACTAGTGACGACAAATTTTTGATTGATGTTGATTCAGTGAAGGTTGAAAAATATCATTTCCTAGATGCCATGTCAACAATTACACCCGCTGCTCATAGAGGCTCCATTGTGCACTCGAGGCCATTGCCTTTAGTTGTTGCACCATGTTTACAGAGACATCTCCACAAAGTCATGGATCATATTTCTGAAATATTTCCTACATCTGCATCTTCTTCAGATCTTGGCAAGTTTTCTATGTTTTCTTATGGTTCTGCAGTTCCTCTTGTCTATAGACCTCGGCTTCTAATTTATGGGGAGGAGGGTTCTGGACTGGTAATTGTGTTCAAACTTTTTGATGTGTTGAAATTTCTGCTTATAAATGAGAACCGTGATATAAATTTATGTACTGATTTAATTTTACAGAATCATGGTTTCTTTTTGATCTGTAACAAGGTGAAGCTTTATATTATGTTTTACAGGATCATGTTGGGCCTGCAGTTTTACATGAGCTGGAGAAATTTCCAGTTCATTCTCTTGGACTTCCATCCCTTCTTTCAGATCCTAGTGCAAAGACTGCAGAGGAGGCATTGGTGCATATATTTGGTGAAGCAAGGAGAACCATACCCTCAATACTCTATTTGCCACAGTTCCATCTTTGGTGGGAAACTGTGAGTGCATGCCTAAATTATATATAAGTAACCGTGTAAAAATATTCATCCAACACCAAACTGCACACAAAGTATGCAGCAAAAGAAGTGTACAACATTGGGCCTCCCAATAGAGGCCTCACCACCATTGACAACAGAAACCAAAACAAATGACAGCAACTGATTACATATTACAAATTAGCAGCCGGTCCTGGGCAACCCCAATCTAAACAAACTTTTCCAACCTCAGCCTTGTCCAGAGAATCAGCCATCATGTTGGCAGTTGGCACTCCTAGGCACCCACTTGAATGAGGCATTTAATGCAGCACCTAGAGCTTGAGCCATTCTGACTAGAGGTTTGATTTTCCATGGGATTTGACTTTGACCTGTCATCCAACACAAAACCACTTGATAATCACCATCTACTTCCACATTCCTTAAATCCCACATTTCCAACAACTTCAAACCTTGAACCAAGGTCAGAAGTTTAGCCCTTGAAGAATTCTGTTTGCACACTGGACCTGAAAAGCTTAAAATAATACTGCCCCCATAGTCTCTGACAACTCCCCCACTCCCAAGGGCCTGGATTTCCAAGGCTGCAGCCATCAAAGTTGAGTTTGAGTGTCTCTATTGTAGAGAACACTGATGTGGGCCCCACTGCAGTGGTCCCCACTGTGTTCGTAGGACGGCATGTGTAGTTATTTGTTCCAGTTATAGTAGTGTCAGTTTG